GCAGCGCGCGAATGCGCTGGAATCGGGGTCAGAATTTCCACCCGGCGCTGGGGTGGGATCCTGCGGCAAACGGGGCGGGGCCCCTTCTAACTTCAACGCCTGCCGTCAGCCCCAGCTCCGCTTTCTCCAGAAAGGCCTCAAATGTGCACTTTTAACACAAATCTCCTGATGTGCTCAATGTTGGCCCCCACTGAAGGGAAAAATACAATCTATGAGTCACACAAAACAGGCCTGTGGACCCCCAATTTGCTGCCTGGACACAGGTGCTGCCGCCACCTCGGTGCCAGATGGCAACTGCCCCCGCGACCGCGCAGCCCAGCAGACCTGGTGAGCTCCCGGGACGGGAACTTCTCCCTGGGTCACGAGGGGGCGGGGCCGGGGCCCCCCTCCCCAGAGTCCGAGGGGGCCCCCATGAGTCACTCGGCATCACAGCTCCAACTCATCACTGCTGCCTTTACTTTTTGAAAACAATTAAACACCATTTTCTCTCCCTTTCAAGCGAGATCCAAGTGACAGCCGATCCATCAGCTTGTCTGCCGCTGTTTAACTCCAGCCCTTTGCATTCGTTGCTGCCGACGTAAATCGCTCTTTTCAAAGGAGGGATAACTTAATTCCGCCTCCTGAGAGCAGGGAAATTAAATGGCGGGTGTTGAAGGCGCACGTTCTCCTGACGGGACGTCCACAGACAGCCCGCGACGTTGAGCCAGGAGGACGTCAGCCCCAGAGGCAGCGCACCGGGACCCGGGCCTGGCCCCGCACCCCAGCCGCCCGCCGGTGCGGGCCTTTCTGAGGCTGACGTGGCAACAGTGACGAAGCTGAAGATGCGGTTCACCCAAGAGCGCGGCGACCCACGGTGACGACAGACCCCGGAGCCTGGGCTTCCCAGTGGCCCCCCAGCCCCCAGCCAGGGCAGGCTTTGCAGGGCAACTCAGAAAAGCCACACACGTAACACACACTGAAGTGTCACGTCCCAGTTTTCCCTACCACGTGCGGGGGGCTCCGGCCTTTTCTAGTCGATGATGATCTGCTCAACCCCCGCTTTTACGCATGTCCTGACTCATCAGTGGTTTGCGACTTCCACGGGAGCACCGCTACCCCAGGGGGTCAGTGCCGACAGGCGGGCACTGCGGTCCACGGGAGCGGAAATTTCAAATACTACCCATCCAGGGGCAGGAGAATGAGTAAATAAACTATGAACTGTCTGTAGTGTGGAATACTCTTCATTGGGGGGAATAAAAAATTAGAGCTACATGTAGGGACAGGGCTTAACTCAGGAACTATTGCGCGGAGCCAGAACAGCAGGTTCCGGAACGAATCTTTGAGCACAGAGCCTGCTGGTCACAAGGTCTGAAAGAGGCCGACTCAGCGTCTGCAGGATGCGCCTCAGCCGGCGCCGTTAGGGCAACACAGACTGGGGGCTTACAGACAGCAGACGGCTCTCCAGTCTGGAGGCTGCACGTCCACGGTCCAGGGGCGGGCAGGTCCGGGGTCCGGGAGACCCGCTTCTTGCCCGCGGTCCCGGAAGGAGCTGGTACCTGCTGACAGCAGGTCCGGGCACGGCCACGGAACTGGATAAAACCAAATAAAACACCTTTCGGAAGACACGGGGGTTCTTCTCGGGCAGAAAGGGAGAACAAAGTGGCTAATGCCTTCCATGCCGGTTTAAAGGCTCGGTGCTGGGACGGAGGCATCGCGGCAGGTGGCGGCAAACGAAGACCGAAACCACAAAGGATGTCCTCCAGGAAGCGGTGAGCCCTGGGGACAGGGACGCGGGGGGCACCTCAGCAGAGGTGCGTCTGGCAGCCCCAGCGAGGCCGACGCCGGACCAGAGGAAGATGTCGTAGTTTCAGTGGCCGATTTGGTCAATGACACAATGTGATACAAATAAATACGTCCCCAAAAGGTAAATAAATACGTCAAAATAATGATGTGAAAATGATTCCAGAGGGGCTGGGGTTCCTAACAAAGAAATACCAACATTAAGGGCCAAATTAAGAGGCTTCCCATCGGTCCCAACTTTGCCAGTTACTACCCTCAGTTGGTTTCCTCAACCCCCCGAACCCCAGTCGGAAATTGCCCACAAAGGCTCCAGCTTCGAACCCCGCGCTGGCCGATCTCTGGAGAGAAAGCCTCGCTCCCCTCTGGCCCCGCCTCTGCCTGCTGAGGGGCTTGGCGCGCCAGAACCTGAGCGGCCGGAGCCCCGCCAAGGACGCGCCTCTGCTGCTGCGTCCGCTCCACACGCGGCCAGGCCTGGGCTCAGCAAAGCGGCCGATTCAAAAACTCTCTTAGTTATATTTGCAGAGATGCTTTTCCAAATACAATCACACTCACAAGTTCAAGGGACTAGGACACATCTTTTGAGGGGTCCCCCTCCCCGCACCGACTCCAGCTCAATGTGCACGGGCCGCGTGGCCTCCCCAGACTGTGGGTGCGGCTCTGCTCCGGGTTTCTGGCCCGCCGGGGACAGAGAGCTGAAAGGCCAGGGAAAGGAGCGTGCCCAGAGCACGCCCCGCGGCACCTCCCGGCACCGGGTGCCCATCGGGGGAGTGGCTTAGCGGGGCTCTAAAGCCAGGCTACTTTGGCTCCTCCTGGGTCCGCGCCGCAGGGAGCCACGGGAAGTGCGCCTCAGTGTGTGCATCGGTTAAGTGGGAACAACGGCAGCTACCTGCCTCACAGGGCTCTCGTACTTCCGATTTTTAAAAGTTCGTGTTCCTAAAAGGTTTATCGCAGCATCTGGCATAGAACCAGCATTACCTGGTTTTCATTTTTTTTAAAAAAATAAGGAATAAACAACAGAATCACAAGAAATCATCCTCAAAGTCATACGTTCCGCATATTCTTTCACCTCTCAATACAAGCCTTTACAGAAGGAAAGAATCCAACATAAATTGAGTCTGATAGGAAAAAAACTTCTCAGAACAGAGGCAGCTGTTACTATCACTGAACTGCCTTCGTTCTTTGTCTTTTCTATTTTTTCCCAATCACAAGAGGTCTATATTTTATTGTTTTGTGTGTCCCCTCTCCCCACCCCTCCTCTGACAACCGTCGGCTGCTGTCCGTATCTGTGGGCCTCCTTCACGCCCGCCTTGTTTATTCGGGGGTGGGGGGGGCGGTTCTTTAGATTCCACACACGAGTGAAAACACATGGTCCTGGTCTCTGTCTGACTTACATCACTGAGCACAACATCCTGGGTCCATCCATGCGGTCACCAACGGCAAACTTTCATTTTTTCATTGCTGAATAGTATAGTCCACTGCCGTACCTGTGACTGTAGATAAGATAGAGGATGTTTTCCTTTTTTTTCAAACTTGAGTAAGGATTCGTAAGTGCAACGAAAGATCTAGCCTGTTGACGTTTCACAAATCCACACAATGACCCAGGACACGAGGACTCCCTTCTGTTAACACTTGGTGGCTGAACGTTTGTTTCACAGAAGGGCAAGGAGCTGGTCAAGTTGCTGAAAGCGGTGACCACCCCCAGCCCAGCTCGGCGGGCTGTCCTTCCCGGATTTCTGCTTAGGCCCCGGACTGCCCAGCGCGGTCAACGTGGGACTCTGCCCTTGACTTCACCCTGAGCGGGGTTACAATGACGCAGGGTGTTGCGAGTCTGTAGAGAAATCTGTTTAAGGTTTCGTGAGCCTTCCTAGCGACGGAGAGGAGGGAACTCCTTCCGTGAGTGCCGCCGAGCCTCCCCCCACTGCTGTGCTGCCTTCAGAGGCGAGCGAGCTTCGTACGGTGGACACCGACATCCGACATCCGACATCCTCTCAAGTCGCGGCTCGTTCCTGAGGCTCGGGTCCCGCCGGCCGGGCAGAAAGCCTCCGGGGCAGCCCTGCCCCCCCCCCCCCCCGCCTGCCGGCCTGGCGCGGTCCCCATGGGGCGGCCTATGCCCTCGCTTCCGGGCTCTTCGGTCCTGCGTTATCTGCTCTGAACACTTTCCAAGGTGCTTATTTGTCTCCTCTCTTCTCTCCCCTTCTGGCAACGCTGGTCTTTATCTGCGGGTTTTCATCTTCATGCCTCACATTTCCTCACAATGAGCCTTCATTAAAATATTCCGAATGAAGACCCTCCCCGCCTCGCCGGCGGAGGGCCTCGGCTCTCCCTGTACGGCGCACTTCTAACTCTTATCGCAGAGGTTCAGGCGGTTTTCACATTACATTCTATTAAAAACTCTGTCCCACCCAAGGCTGTCACAATCCAGGGACCCCGGCTTTCCGTGGGGGGCCTGGTGAGGGACACAATCGCACGCTGCCTTTGTCGGCCGGCGACGCATCCATGAGCCTGTATTTCACACCTCATTTGATATTCCAATTCCACAAAAAAGTACAAACAGCCGCAATTATTTATTCCAATGAGGGAGCGGGTTTTCACAGGACATGAGAGGAGCCGTGTGCTCCTCCCGCCCCGGGAGGCCGAAACCGCAGGGGACAGAGAACATGCTGGAAGGCGGGCAGTCCGACAATTCCACCCCTGCTTATGGAACGACGCTGCTGCTTCTGTGACCGTTCGCCTCTTCCAAAAAGAATGCAAAACCGATTCTCACAAAACCAAAGGTGATTTCCACAGCCTGTGTTTTTCCTTGAATTTAAAACACCGCCGCTAGGTCGGTCCAATGTCCCCACAAAACTGCTTTCCTGTGCACAGGCCACAGAACCGCCAGGGGCCCCGGCTCGCGACTCCTGAGGGCGCGGGCCCGAGCATCCGTGAGGACGCCCCGCACGACAGGAGGCTGGGGCGGCGATGGGCCGGCCACCCCGGCCGCCCCCCAGCACCCACACCCCGCGGAGCCCTCCCCGCTCTAAGCCCCTGTCGTTCAGGCGGGTCCCTTCAGCCTCCGAAGTCATCTCTATGTTGCCCATTTTGTTCTTCAACTCTTCACTGCAAATAATAATAATAATAATAATAATAATAAATTCTTAAAGCAGGTGTCTCAGACCCGGCCCTTTGACAAATGAGCCCAGTCCGGCTGAGACCACTGAGCCAATCTGCTCTGCGCGTACCTGCTCTGCGGGTCCAGGTGCCGGCCCACGCAGGTGAGGGCGGCCGTGGTCTGAGCGCCACCGTTGTCGATTTCTTCCCGGACGGCCCAGTGGTCTTCGCTGCTGACCCTCACCGCCACGACCTTCACGCCGGCTGCCGCCTTGATCCTGCGGGGAGGGGGGGAGACGTAGAACCACGTTAGTTCAAAACAGGCGGTGAGAGCGCGTCGCCCTTCCTCCGGGAGACACCAGGGACACTGGCTGTAAGTGGCCTTCCTTTGGAAACCAAGCGCCCTGTTATTTCCCCGCGCGCCCGGGGCAGGAGGCCAGCGTGCTGCCGGGCGGTGGTCTTCTGGCCTCAGCGCAAGGGAGGCAGGGCGCACCCCACTTCGGGGGCCCCGTGATGGGAAGGCAAGACGTTCCTGGGCCGGAGCGGGCAGAATCGCGGGGCCCGCTCTCTGCCCGGAGACAGGGAGAGGCCCCGGGGCAGCAGGGCCCAGGGGTTGCCCAGCCGGGGGACTGAGCAGGAGGACGGCCGCAGCGGCCACACCGTGAGAGGGAACAGTGGGGACACACGGCCCTTGGAGGAGAATGAGCCCGCACTCAGGCCAGATGCCGCGCCGGATCCTGCCTGGCGCAGCGTGTGCAGAGCTCAGCGCCCGACCCCAGGCGCGAGGACCCCGGTGCGCGGCTGGTGGGAAGGCAAACTGGGGGAGGCCGCCGCGGACGGCGGGCTGGCAGGCACTCAGATGTGACACACAGAAATGCCACCCGACTCAGAAGTTCCACCCTGAGATCCAGACCCCACAGCACTGTGCACAGGTCCTCAAACACCTGAACATGCTGCTCACGGCAGCAGTGCCTGTAACAAACAGCCAGAAGGCGGGGCCGACCCACGCGCCCGTTGTTTGACAGACAGACAGAGAAAACGTGGTCCGTCCCTGCAGGGGCTGGGGCTCAGCCACGGAAAGGAACAAAGAGGCACTGGCACCTGCTGCCGCGTGGATGAGCCCCGAGGACACAGCGCTGCGTGGCAGGCGCCCGGCACAAAAGACCACCCGGTGTGCGATCTCACTGAGAGGAAGTGTCCGGAAGGTGAAGGCCCAGAGGCGGGAGGCGGGCTGGCGGCCGCCGGGAGCAGAGGAGGGTGGAGGGGACAGAGGGAAACCGATGAACTAACAGGTGCGGGGTTTCCTTCTGGGGTGACAGAGATGTTTGGGTGGCGCTTGCACAACCTTGTGCACGTTCTCAATGCCCCTCAATTATTCGTTTGGAAATGGCTCGTTTTATGTTACATGAATTTCACCTTAATTTAAGAAAATAAGAGGGAGAAAAAGAAAGGAAGAAAAAGGGAAGAAAAAACAGATGACTGGCCCTTCCCAGGAGTGGCTGAACCTTCAGAAAAGATTTATGAAAATCAAAACATCTTCAAGATGCAAAGAAGGGACCCGGCGTGCAGACCGAGCCTCCAGTGCCGGGCGGGGAGCTCAGAGCCAGGGGTGGCCTGGGGGCCCCGGTCTCCCCCTGAGGGCCCGGGAGCAGGGGGTCCAGGAGCCCAAACACCTGCTGTCTCCTAAATACAACCGTCCCTGCTGCCTCACCGCCCTCCCGACAGGCCTGCTCACAGCACAAGGACACCCCCACCCGCTGGTGCGACGGCAGCTCCTGAGAAACCCCCGCCCTGCGGCGTTTCCCCCCAGAGACTCTCGGTGCCTCTCCCCGCCGCGCCGCGCTCTCCCTGCCCGCCACATTCTACTGGCGGCACCTGCTTCTTCTCAAAGCAGCCTCTCGCCAGCACGATGCCCCAGGAACTCATTCATGCGAATCACGAACACAGGCGTCCTCTCTGGCCATGCCTTCAGCCACCCCATCCTGCGCCAAACGGGGCCGTTGGCGAGAAGGTTCCAGAACGTGCGCCTCGATGAGCAGAGCCCTGCGCCCCGTGGACCGCACGGCCTCGTCACGCCCCGCACCTGCTGTTTGAACAGCTTGTCACATCCTTCCCGTCCGCGCGAGTGCTCACAGAGAGCTCTCACCAGGCAGCCCGGGGTCGGAGCCGTCACTGCAGTCCTCGACACCCAGATGCGCACATGGCGCCCCGCGCACCCCCTCAGCGAGCAGCCAGCTGGAGGTCCCAGGGCCGGTCACCGCAGAGCCAGGATTGGGGCCCGAACCCGCCCCGCCCCCGCCCATGCAGAGCTGCCTTGTGAGCCACGCTGGTGCCGTTCCCTGCCTGGCTCAGGGGTCACGTCTCGTGACCAAGGCCTCGCATGTTCATTCTCTGACTGAGCCCTCATTACCAGCCCTCTGTCCCCTTCGGTCCTGGAGGTGCCGGTACGACATGTCCCAGAGCAAGGCACAGGCCCCCCTGTCCTCGGGGGCTTCGTCACGCAGCCTCTCTGACCCCCCCCCCCCGCCTTCCTTTGCTGCTCATCTCATCCTTCCCGACAGAGAGCTTCGTGGCCGGGGAGCTCGCCCTGGGAGCCTGAGAAGCAGATGTCCGGCCAGGAGTGACAGCAAAGTGCTGAACGGCAGGGACAGGGCCTGCGCGGGCCAGGAGGCCACCCAGGGTGCTCGCCGCTGTCGCTGGACTCGCTGACCCGAAAGAGACCCAGGGGTCCCGAGAAGGGCAGGGACAGACTCGGGACAGTGACCTTCAACGAGCAGAGGTCAATGTTCTTCGCTATTTCAGCCTCTGTGTGGTCACACCAGCCCCTAGGGCTGTGTCCCCATGTCACCCGAGTGAAGCGACTACACTGGAAGTGGGGCGGGCGCAGACAAAGTGGCCCCGCAGGGTGCCTCTCGGTGGGACTATGGACCCCAGACACCGTGACTGTTCGTCTCAGGCTCTTAGAGCCCAGGTGGGCACCCCCACCGGACGACGTGACGCGCCAGCTGCCACGGATGAGCGACGAGGAAGAGCCCTGGACTCCAGCTGGCCCCCCGCCCCCCCAGGTGGGGACGGGGACAGGGCAGAGACCCCCCCAGGCCCTCCGCCTCGACCCCCTCCGCCTCCCCGGAACCACGCAGCCATCGCCTCGCTGGGCACAAGAGAACTCGCCGGGTGAGCGCTCCGAGTCCTGGGTGTCAGCCCACCTGCCTCGGAACTAAAATGCCCCGGCCCCGCAGGGCTTTGGGTCTGCCCGCCAGCAAGTCGGGTGTGCGGGGCAGGGTTCCTCTCGCGCAGAGAACGCTGGTCCCGCCCTCAGAGCCAGGAGCTGACCTCCACGGCCCCGGCCGAGCTCACTGACGAGTGTCTGTTCAGCCAGGGGCCCCGGGCCGCACGGCACCAACGCGGCCTCCGCGGGGACGGGCCACCAAGGGCAGCCACGGGGGCGCTCGGCTTTGTCCACGTGCCCGAGCCCTACCGAACTGTTCCTGAACTCCAGCTCTAGGGCCAAATCCTTCCCAATTTTAGATCACATTTGCTAGAACAATTTAAGCCCAGAAAAATCCATGCCTTGAATATTCATTGCGTGTTTTAGGGAGGTATTTTTAGGCCTGGCGATATTCTCGACGCTGGTTATTCAGAAGCCCCGGCGTCTAAAACCGTGCGGAAGTGACGGACACGCCCAGCACTGGGAGGCACCGCTGGGGCCTGGGGGCTGGTCAAGGAGGAAGGCGTGACCACAAGGTGGCGGTGGCCCACAACCGGCGGGCTCCAGGCCAGGAGGACTGGCGGTTTCGCTGGTTGGGGGAGCCCCTCCCTGCGGGAGACCCCGGAATGAACGGGCGGGGGTAGGGGGGCCAGCACCCAGAAGGGGGAGGGGAGGGAGCCCTGGGGAAGAGAAGGAACGGGGTGGGGGACACACAGCGGGGCTTGGGTGTCTAGAAGCTGTGCCGGTGGGCAGTGCCAGGGTCGGAGGGCTCCGCAGAGCGGCCAGGCATGGGGCCCTGGAGCCCGGGGCGCAGCTGTGTCGGGTACGCAGCGGGTGAGGCCCACGGAGCTGGAAAGACGCTAATTTAGGGTACAATTAGAACAATTAGATGCGTAACAATTTAAGTTTGGCGCTGGCCGGCCTCTGCGCTACCAGACACCAACGCGCAGTGAAGAGCAGAGGGGCCTGTGCACAGGAACCGCCTTTGGTTCATTTATAGAACAACGACTTCCACACACACACACACACACACACACACACACACACCCTCACGTGTATAGTCCCACGCGGTCTCCCTTAGACAAATGTTTGCTGAGTTCCTGAGGTTTGGGGCACAGGGCGCAGGGCCCGCCGGCCAATGACAGGGACGAATAGGAAATGTTCGCTGGTGAGCTGAGCATTTGGAAGGGACTCCCGGGGACGATGGCCGTGCGGACCCCGCTGTCGCCGCCGGCGCCCCTGCCCTCGGGGCTGGCCGGCTGCGTTGGCTGCGGGCGGGAAACACGCGCACACGCAGCGCAAGCCCCTCACAAAGGGACGCTGCCAGCCCTGTCGCACCGGAGGGCTGACAGGTGCCGGTCAGGCTGCCGAGAAACGGAGCGCGGTCCCCGCCGGCCCGCCCCTCAGGACGGTCTGCTCGCAGCCCACAGGCACTCCCAGGGAGGAGCTCCGAGAGCCAGGTCTAGGGGGCTCTTGGGGAACTGGGGAGGCCCCCAAGTATTTCTGCTAAACTGGCCCTTTCGGGGCCCCTACGGGCAATGTCAAGTGTGACGTGAACAACGTGACGTTGCACAGTGACGTACAAACGGAGGAAGCAGCGAGCTGCCAACAGGCAACGCGCCCTCGGCTCGCGCGGCTCCGAGTGGGACGCGCTGGACCAAGCTCAGTCCTAACGTGAGAGGAGGTCGAGCTGTCGCCCTCGCCTTCCTCTGACCCCTCACAGCAGAGGGCAAACTCCCGAGCGCTTTTTGACTCGCCGCTGTCCCTGAGATTGCACGTCCTCGCTTTCCACGGTTCCTTTCCATGGGCCAAACGTTCTCAGGCTGAAGAAAGGCTCCCCAGGTCGCCCGTAGGCCTGACGGGCAACGCGTAGGAAGGCCTATTTCTCGGATTTGAAAATGCGCTCACTTCTGCGTTCGCAGGGAACCGGCTTCCTTGCGGTTCTGCAAACAGCGCGTGGCGTTCCCCGCCTTGGACCCTTGGACAGCGCTGTGCCCTGCGCCTGGAAGGGGCGCGTGCGGGGGCCCCCTGCCTGACCTCGCCCACGCCGGGGCAGGCGGCCCCTCCGCC